AGCAATTAATAAAGTTCTTTTGTTTTCAATGGATTGCTGGAACTAGGTCGAAAGGTTATGCCACGATAGTTAAGCACGGTAGAATGGCCATTTTACCAAATTGTTCGCGCATCCCTCTTCGTGTATGCACATGTATATCTTGTCGAAGTTACGGTGAAGGACATTTTAAATTGGCATTTCAATCCTTCCAATATTTCCATTGAACTATGGACCAATTGTAGCCGTTTGTTCGAAAAGGGATTGTTTAATACAAATTCGACAACTATTAAATGAATATTACTATTGCTATGACAATATCGAAAATTATTAAAACAATTATCAATGAGAAACTTATTAAATTAACATTTCCGAGATTTCTTCGTAACTGGGATCGAGATGATCAAAACGAGTAAATAAAATTAAAAAGAAAAATTGAAAATCGAATATTATTGTATATTCCTCGTCGTCACAAATTTTACTGTACAGGAAGGTTATTTGGACATAATTGATATTAATAAAATATGAAACTATATTCGAAAACAAGTTTTCAAAACTAGATTAAATTTTTCAAAGTTATACGTATTCCACATATCACTAATTTACTGCTAGTAATTAACTGCTCGTTAAATTACAATATTTAATTACTATAGTCATATATTAGTTATTTAATAATTACAATAACATGTTACTAATTCACAAACAACACATATTGTATATATTATTAGTCAACAAAAATATTCAACAATTTAATAATTATTTAAATAATACAGTTATACATTAATAATTTCATAAATTAGTGACTGCCATAACATAATAATAATTTACAAATATATATGTATATATTACACAGTGTACTTTTATTTTCCATTTTTTCCAAAGGAAGAAAACAAAACGAAATTCAAAAACAAGAAATCTCTCTTAAAAAAAAAAAAGGAAAAATAAAAATCGTGCGACGTGTCCAGAATGAAGTTTCCTGGATGAAAAATCCAACGACTCCGGTGCTAATAGTTTACACGCTGAACAAGTCGCGTACTCCGTACGGGACACTTGAATTCCTCGGGGAAAACAAGCGGGCGAGGCGCGTTCGCGGCGCGAGTGCGTGCTAATGACGTCGTTAGTCATGCGACACGCTGACAATTGGCCGCTACGAGTGGAGTCTGGAGGCTCACGGCCGAATACTGTCTCCATCCGCAATTATCGCGACCTTTGCGACTCAAGACGAGACGAGCCGATCGATCGTTTCGCGTACAGAACGCTCTTTCGTCTACCCGATCGCTGAAAAGTATCGCGAAATGAAAACGAAAATCTCGATAATCTATTGAGTACCGAAGAAACGTGATCTATACTATGATCGATGTCACCGGAATTTTTATCAGGGATTATACGAAACGTTGAAGTCCCTTGAAGTAATCCAAAATTTATTGCATTACTTTTATTATGAAAAACGAAATATAGTTAGATTTTCCATGTTATAAAATTATTTAAATTTGCTACCTGTTGAATGGCTAGAAGCGTTTTGTGCAAAACAATTATAATTCATTATGTAAAAAGTTATTTCATAGTAATCCACGAAAAATTCTGTTAAATTCGCTAAATCTCTAGCTCCCCTACAAAAAATCTCAAATAAAAATCGAATATATTCATCAATTGCATAAAATTTCAGTAAATCTTACGTTTACAAATTCTTTCACGATTTTGTATCCATTAGAAAATAGAAAATTCGAAAAATCGGAAGCCATGATAGGTTAACTGCTGACAAGAAACTGCACATAACCTATAATTTAAAAAGAGACTTATTTACAGAGATTAATTAATTTCTTAATTTATATGCCCTTAAAGCACCAAAAGAAAGTCGAAAATGGCAAAAAGCAAAATAAAAAGAAGATCGGTGTTTGAAAGTTGTAGATCAAAACCGTCCCGTAGCGAGGAGTGCAAGAGGGCGAAGAGAAAGAGGAAACGAAGGCAGCAGTGAAACTAAAAAGTCTGTCACTGACGGAAGTAACCGATAGCAAATACTTCCTATCGCGATAAAATATCCCATAAAATCACCGGATCCGTCACGGGCGGCTAAAACGGGAAACGACGATGATCTTATTACGTTTCAATAACCTTTAACGCCGCCAGCGACAGCATTACGCCCCTAACGCGGGCAGTAAAGTCGATACAGGGTAGTAACTGTCCGCGCGCGGCGCTGCAATCGATGCGAACGAAGATCCCCGATGGATCTTCCTCGAATCTTGAACATGGCTCGCGCGATGTTCCCCTTGCTCTCCCGAGGCACAGAACTCAGAAGACGCGAGTCTCGTCGAGTAGATACACCATTTGCGACCGAGCTCGACCTTCGACAAGGCTCCAGCTAGCAATTAGGTGGACGTTACGTTGGATATACACATGTAACCATCTGTGTTTAATAGCGAGACGGAATCATATTTGCAGCTCATTATCTCGTGGAGTCGGAAGTGACTGATTAATTAATAGCGATTGGTTAATCGTTACCGAATTCATCGTGGACCTTGCAAGAACCGAAGTCTTGCTGGATTCCGCGCGCGGGAAATTTGAACGAATTTTCAAGTTTTCGTAATTTGATAGAGAGATTGTATGGTAGATGTGATATAAAAATTGTTTATGTTTATGAGTTACTATATTGTTGAGCGTTGTTCATTTCTCGTCTCTAATAATCGAGGATTGGAATAATACGTTGAAAAAATTTTTAGGTTAGGGAAATCAAATTTATAGCCTGCTATTTTTCAGAGTTGGAATTAATTGATTCGTTTATTGATTGATCGTCGTTGTGTCTATCGTAGATTTTAGAAGAGTCGATGTTGTTTCCTAACGTGAAAGGTGCCATTTTGATTTAACGCGCGGGAAATTCGAATGAATTTTAAAGTCTTTAGTAAAAAATTTTGACAGTGTGTAGTAGATCTAGCATGAAAATTGTTTGTCTTGTTAAATTATCCTATTGCTGCATTATTCACTTACTGTAATTGATTATTTTAACGAAAATAATCGCGTAAGTTGAGTTAAAGAAAATTTTAGGTTAGATAAGATCATATTTGCAATTTGTTAACATTATTCTAATTAGAATTCATTTAATTAATCGTAAGTAAACCAAGCCTCGAAAGGATTAAAAGGATTACAATATTTTTCAAATGTAAATTCAAAATACAACGTCTCAATCTTTATCTAACGCGCGGGAAGTTTGAAAAGATTTAAAAGTTTATAGAATGTACAATATTCACAACGCAAACCAATAGTTTATATATGTGTTATTCACTTGTTACCTGTAACTATTGTATGCTGTAACAGAGATAACTACATTGGTCATATTAGACAAATTTTTAGGTTAAGGAGCAGGACGCCATTTATGTAAATTCACTAGAGGATAATCATATCTGGAGTTTATAAAATACGAGTTCCAAAATCCCAATTATTCAAACATTAATTAATATCTTTTCTCATGAAATGGATTTCCTTGGAATCTTTCAAAAATATAATTTTTGTTGTAGTGCATATACATAACCTATACTATGTTAACATGTTATCAGAAATGATTCAAATACGAAACGAAATTCAACAATAAATTGTACAAATTTATTGTTCAAACTCAACTTAGTCAAATTAACAAAATCAATTGTCCTACACAAACTTGCCACTAAAAAGTACTTTACAACTTCCTAATAAAATCCAAAGGATTCTACATTAAGCCCATAACTACCGACCTACAGTATATATCTCAATATATTATGTACAAACTACAATGTAAATAAATAATGACACGTCATTACTATTTTTATCCACCTGAAAATATAAATCTGTAATAATTACAGGAATAAAAAATTCTGGGACCTTATTTTGTCCTGCTTTTAATACTAAACATGTACCCATACATAAATAATCCTGAAAAGTACGAATCTCCGAGGAATTAATCATTTCCCGCAGAATGACTCTTGAAGACCGCGATGGAACGCGCGGGAAATTGAAAAGAAGCCCACTTGCAGAGCAGTCTCCGCGTGCAAAGGCGTGCGGAATTTCGCGCGATTCCATTACCGAATAATTTATCCGCAGTTACTCGAGATGAAGCTGTCGGCTCTTGTGCGAAGCGGAATCGCGATATGCTCGATGCATCGAGCGTGAACACGGCGCGGCGTGAGAGAATCACGAAGGGATCGATTCTGCACTGCCAAGGGAACCCCCGCCGTACCCCTTCCCCCACTCCTCGGCGCGGCGTCCGCGAGCACCAGCGGGGACTCCCGAGTCGAGGCCCCTGCAACGACAAATCGACGCCGAACGAATCGCTCGCACCCTGCCGCCCCTTTAATCGCCTTCGATCCAATTTTCGCGTTTTCTCGCCCTACCCCGCGACACTTTGGCCGATCACGCATGATCAATACTCGTGATCGATACTTCGCTCCGTGTCGTTCGTTATGCGATATTGTTCCCCTGATTGGAATCGTGTGTACCCGATCCCGATGATCGCGCAAGGGACGAGAATTTACTTTCGTCAGCAAATGCCGGGGTATATTTTCCAGCAGGGAAGACTGAAGATTTCGAAAGTTTCCGTGACATGAAATCCAAGTTGAGTTTGACAGACTAGTCCAAGTCTAGGGAAGCTAGTTCGGCGAGTTAATGAAAATTTAATTGCACTTTCATCGCAGTCAAATTTCAGAGCGAATCGATACAAAGGGTTGAAGTTGTACAGGGTAGCTTAAACGATAGTTCGGGTTCGTTAGCGTAAATAGACTCCGCTGAGAGTAGCCCCTAAATGTCCTAGAGACTCCTGGAGACTCCTAGGGACCAGAGGTAGGAAATCGATTAGTCCAATCTATCAGAGCAAACAACTGACGATATCAGAGTTCCCTTTGATCTCCCGTGACCCAAACCCTACACCATTCTTGCACCAATCTTCTCCGGGAAACATTTCCTTCACAGAGTACTCCAAGTGCAACATCTCAGAGTGCATATAACGAAACGCATTATAATAACCTGACCTGTGAATTTTACGAAACGAAATCAGTACTCACGGACAAAGATGTTGCTCATCAGAGTAGCAGGTAGGCAGAACACGATGACTAGGACGTCAGCAACCGCGAGATTGACTATGAAGAAGTTCGTCACGGTCCTCATCCGCGGCGACCGGTAAACCACGGCAATGACGAAACTATTCCCGATCAGACCGACCACGAAGACCAGAACATAAGCGACACAGTATACCGCTGACATGGCCATGCTATGCCTGTACAGCCTGTCCGGTATCTGTTCAGCCGTGGACAGGTTCACCGTTTTGCTGGCGTTCAACAGCCCACCGTGCTCCTCCATGGACGTTCTAGGACTGGTCGTGATAGCCTCGGCTATCAGGTTGTTCAGATAGTCTCCGAGGTCGTTCCTCATCTGCAAGAGGGTACCAGTGGCCGGTGGAACAGCGGAGACAGTCGTGGGCGCCACATTCCCGTTGTTACTCCTTCGTCGCGTGTCAACGTCGAACTCCTCCGAGTCCGGCAGACGCAGGGATGCCATCTCCAAAAGCGGAGACGGTGGCTGCAGCATCGGGAACTTGATCGTAAAGCGTTGGGTCGACGTTGTTTCAACCATCGGCCGAGCTGCACGCTCCCTTCACGTTTAGCTCCGACAGCGTCGCGTCGCCGTGTCGACGACCTCGGTCCACCCGAGTATCCGCCTTCACCCCAACAACTAGGTTCACCTGATCGATCTGCAGTACTTGGATCCGTGTCTTCTGTGTCAAAGAGTGTTTCGACGATAGACTGATTGGGTTTCTTACGAGACTATCGTCTGGAGGAACTTTGACGACGGTACCATAGGCCTCTGACACCTGGTCATCGGACAGAGGTGGTTCTGGAAACTGGTCCAAGAAGATCTTTCACTCGGACAAGACGGAAGTCACGTCCATGGCACGGGAGTACGTGTTTAGGTGACAAATCACGAGTATTTTCGCTGGCGGAGGAAGGGAGAGAGCGCGTGGTCTGATGGAGTTCGACGCTCCTGGAGTCAACTGGCACGTGCACGAGAGCCCATCGAGCTCTGTTGCAACCCTCGCGGGATGAGCGTGGGGTATCGAGGCGGGAGATGAAACGATTTCGACTGGTTCGATGAAAAATTCGTTCTGGTTCTTCGTTCCAGGTGTCTGATTAGAGGCGACAGGTGGTGAGATAAGAGGTGACAGCGGATGGGTGGGGTAGAGGGAGAGTCAGGTGTCGAGTGGAACGGGACACAAGGTGTTCGAACGAGCAGCGTGATCCACGGTAAGGTGTCCCGGCCGAATGCTGAGCGACTAATGAGCTTGCTTTAGAAGACGACTGCGAACTGCCGCGAGATGCACCCGTAGCGGCGAGCTGTCTGGCGACACGCGACCACTGCGCAAGCGTTGCCATCCACCGGCACATGCACCCGCATGAGAGCTACGCCGCGATCATCGGAGCGGTCTATGTTTCGAGGCAGGGAAATTGCAATATTTTGAGAAAGTTCCTTTGAGAATGTTTTTTTCAGAAATTACTAGGTATGGAGATTTAGGAGAGTATCGACGAGAAGGTTAAGCCAGCGAGGGTTATTTCAATGTGATCGAGTTTTGATGATAACCATAATATGTTACTGTCTAAATTCTTGGTTTTCAATTTCAGTTACAAATTATTAAGTCCATTTCTTGGCCCTTCGATTCTTTTCTTCCCAGGTTTCTCAATTTCTTGATTTCTTGAACTAGGTTTATGACAGTATCAATGAGGAGGTTAAGCTAACGAAAGTCAGTTGGATGTGATCGAATTACTATTGTAACCATAACACGTAACAATCTAAATTCTTCGCTTTCAATTTCAATTGCAAATTGTTAAGTCCACTTCTTGGCCCTGCGATCATTTTCTTCCTCGATTTCTCGATTTCTTGATTTCTTGAACTACGTTTATAAGGGTACCAGTGAAGAGGTTAAGCTAACGAAAGTCAGTTGGATATGGTCCAATTACTATTGTAACTATAACACGTAACTATCAAAATTCTTGATTTTCAATTTCAATTACAAATTATTAAGTCTGCTTCCTCATTCCTTTATCCTTTTGTTCCTCGATTCCTCGATTTCCTGAGGTAGATTTATAGGAGTATCAGTGAGGTGGTTGGTTTAGGTTAGGTTATTTAGATGTGGTCGAATTACCATTGCAACCATAATATGTCACTATCTAAATTCTTGACTTTCAATGTCAACTGAAAATTATTAAGTCCATTTCTTGGCCCATCGATCCATTTACTTCTCTATTTCTTGGTTTCTTGAGATTAATTTATAAGAATATCAGTGAGGAAGTTAGGTTAGGGAGAGTTATTTAAATGCGGTCGAATTACTATTTTAATCATAATATGTCACTATCTAAATTCTTGATTTTCAATGTCAATTGCAAATTATCAAGTCCATTTCTTTGCTCCTTTCCTCCTCTGTTTCTTGATTTCTTGAGTTAAATTTATAAGAATATCAGTGAGGAAGTTAGGTTAAGGAGGGTTATTTGACTGCGGTCTAATTACGATGGTAACTATAATACGTCACTGTCTATATTCCTGGTTTTCAATTCCATTTGGAATTATTAAGCCAATTTCTTTACCTCTCGTTCCGTTTGCTCCTCGATTTCTCGATTTCTTGAAGTAGATTTATATGAACATCTGTGGGGAAGTTAGGTTAGGTTAGGTATACGAATGTGGTCGAATTATGATGGTAATCACAATACGTCACTATTTAAATTCTTTGTTTCCAATTTAAATTAAAGTGTTAAGTCTATTTCTTTGTTCTTCGATTTCTTGAATTTCTACTTTTTGATTCATTCCCTATTTCCTTTTCTTCTATTCTCTTCGTTGCTTTTATTTCATGTAGTCACTTTTAGGATATATATACACATATTTATAAGAAACTATAGGTAGTCATGCGAGGATTGTTGTTCAAACATTTACCCTAAGATATAAATTTTAATGGCGCGTGCTATAATGAACAATAGAATCGATCACACCTTAAGCCACTTCGTCCGAACGCGGCGAAGAATAACACGTTACTGAGACAGAAAGACATTGGCGAAAACTATCCAAGAGCATAACTCATCCACAAATCACGCCTTTCAGCCGTGACACTCATGTTTGGCCCGATTTCATTACCACGAATCTCACAAAATATTGCAGTCCAAATTGTTAAACAATAATCTGAAATATTATATTTATTTCTAATATCGAAGTAACGAAATATAAAGCCTGTCATTATTTTTCATTTATTTATATTTATATATAATGTATAATAATATTGGTTTGTTGTATATAACAAGCAGTTTACTTTTTACTCAGCAATATAGAATAGATCTGATCAGTGATTATTTACTTTTAATTAAAATTTATAATTTCAGTTTAATAATGAATATTTTCTTTTTACAAAAAGAAGAACAAAATTAAAATTTTTAAATTCAATTTGGATTTTAGTAAGTTTGTGATATGATTAGTGATAACTGACATTGATAATATTCAAGTTTATACGATTAATACTTATCTAATAATTCAAACAAGAAATTAATATTAATTTAGAAAAATTATTTTCCTAGATTGATCGATCTAAGATCATTATTAATAATTTAAAAGTATGACTATTATCTTTATTAATAATTTGGAAGTATGTCTATTGGTAGTTGGGCCTGGAAATAGGAATTTAATTGACAAACAATAATATCAAATTCCTTCATCAACGATAAAATTAAATAAATACAAGACAGTCGAATTTCTTACTTCCTTCCCTTATTTACTAAATTGATTCGAAAATCGTTAATATTAATCTCAAATAAGATAGAAAATATACTGAATACAGAGTATACAAGGAATTGTCTGCACATATTTTCTTAAATTTCTGCATCACACGCAACGTTCACCCCGCGAGAATCACAGCCACCACTTAGCCACACCGACGCCTTGAAATATTCCAAGAAACTTGGCTTTTCAAACATGGCAGTAGCATGAAAGTTAAATGTTCCCTTGCTTCCGTACTCCTACACACTCTCTGTCACGACTTGGTCCCAGTGTTCGCGATATTTCTCACAGTTACTTTACTTAAATGGGACCGGCCTGAACGGGCTGCTCGATACAGCCCTGACTTCTTATTTCCAGAGTCGCGATGATATTTCGCGCCGCGAGAATGAGGGAAGATATCGTTGGAAAAGGGCGAGGGAAAGAAAGTAGATTAGAAAAGGCCAAACTTTCCACGATTGCCAAACGTTTTCCTCGTGAACGCCCACGATGAACTTGTAATTCGGTTCCGAGGGTGGAACTTCGCTCGAGTTTCCGGCGCGTCGGGACATCCGCTAAGAGATTTCGATCAAATTAAGACTTCGCTCTAATAATAGTCCCGTTGCTACCTGCAAGTCCTTCGACGCCGATGACTGAAAGAAAATTTCGTTTCTCTGCTCCGCAGAAATTTATTCGACAAGAATTTGGTTCTGAGAATTTCTCGATTCTTCGAAATATCGAAAAAGTAGATTTACGTTTCACGTGAACACTCACGACGTTTATGTCAAGGTAAATATTTCTGGGTCTCGTCGATATTGATTTCGAGAGCTTTTAGTGCAGTGTTTTATCAGATTTTTTCAGGGATGTTTGTGTATTCGTGCGGTTAAGTAAGTAATGAATTAAATGAAAGGTACATGCTTGGATAGAGATTACTGGGATTCGAATAATTTATAGTAATTTAACAAATTTTGTTATGTTTCATATTTTTGGTATCTTCAGATAATATATTGACGTTGTATCTTTGTATAATTTGTATGTATATATACTGTAAATATTGGTATATAAAATGGTATAACTGTTTTAGTGTTACATAAAATGAAAAATATTTTTAAAAATTTTTAAAGAATTTACTTCTTTAATCTGGTGCATTATACACTGTTTTGTTATCTGTAATCAAACATTGTTTTAAAATGATGATAATTTTTGAGTAATCTGATTTTAGGAGTAATTTCAGTGTCGTTTTAAGTATATTGCGAATTCTTTAACACATTGTTCATGGCAAAATATGGCCGATAATATGGTCGCTAATATGGCCGCCAATATGGTCGCCAATATGGCCGCCAATATGGTCGCCAATATGGTCGCCAATATGGCCGCCAATATGGCCGCCAATATGGCCGCCAATACTGAGCTGTTCAGCAACGTGTATACATTTTTCTCCTCTTTTAAATTAATTCGCAACAAATTTTAAGGAAATACCAGTGAAAATAATCAAATTCCAGTTTAATAACACTGTCAATTATATTAACAATAGACTTACCAATCTTCCTACCTCGTAATTTGTTGGGAATTTATTGACATAACACTTTACCTAGTAATCTCATTAAAATTTATTCGAGTAACTAGTTTCCTATCATAAAATCATTTATATTTCATCATCTGCAGTATATCAAATTAATACCGAATGAAATAAGTGGAATAACCTCCAGAACAAGCCTCACTCGAAAGACCAACTTATATTCTAAAACCGTCTTATAATATCGTATCCTCATACCTAATTTATATTTAATAACTTCAGTAGTTATATATTAATATTAAATTCCAAGTTTAAATCGAGCTTCCTCTGCTTTTATGGAATTAAATCTACGATGTGTCTGGAGCATGACTCAGCGT